CTACTTAATATTGAATACACTCAGATGTCATAAATTTGCATTATGTTTTGAATATCTTTTGTTTTTGCAGAGAAAGCTGATATTGAAGTATGCCCACAAGTACAGGCTTGGGTTGTGGAGGCCTAGAGCCGAGCCATTAAAAGCTAGATGAGCAATTTTCATGTGTGGTGAGCGAGATTCGGTTGTGAAGTGGACTATGAAGCTCCCAATGGCGTTTGTAGAATTGTCCATGAAAGTGGTCAACCTTTTCACAAGTGGGCACACAAGGATTTGGATTTGGTTCTTTGTTGCGATCTCATCTTAGTGTTGGTTCTCAATGATCAATAATTCCAAAAGGCTGTAACTTTTTCAAACATCCTCTTTTTGCTCTACTTGGTCCCTAATACGTATTCACGCTTAATTGGTCTTATTAGTGATATTAGCAATTCTGAGAGTCCTGATGTTAGTTATTTTCAGTCATGATTTATCAGTCTTGAATTAGAAGACCTTTTCAAGTTTACTGACAGTTCACAATGAAAGAAATTATGTATGAAGTCTTCAAATTATTTCTGAAAATAGAAGTTGAGTAATCTGTGTTCGCTATTCTGGAGCTATGGGCTTTATAAATCTGATCAGGCTTTCCATTCTTTGGGAGATCGAATATTTTTTTAATACGAATGGGTAAATGGCTTTGTCCTTTGATAACAGGAAAGCCATATTAAGCTTAAAGAAACTTTTGGATCCCAAGGTAGAAAGGAATGTGCATGAAGTTAGTTAAACAATACAACGATTCAAAAGATGCAACATATTACATGTTTACATTCTCACTGAGGCTTGCCTGGGGTTTGCCAAAAGTGCCCAAAATCATACTCATGAATCACATTTACAACATAAATACAAGAAAATAGAAGATTCGTGCTTAGGCAAATGATCAGTTAACACCTACTGATACACCACATAGTCAAGAAATTAGATTCATGTGGAGGCTCTGCTCGCGATATCCTTCTCATAATTGGCAAGCGTGGATTTAATAAGCTGCAAAAGATCCAAGAGGAAGTCTATGAACAACATTCTGTAAATGAAATATGCATGTCAAAGACTTCCCACAAATACAACTCAGAAGATCATGCCATGTCTATGATTTGTCTTAAAAATTTTGTAGATTAAAATGCAGACAATATTTCTCGGGAAGTATACATTATAAAGTTTAAGGAGAAAAATCAGGATTTTTACTTGAAAAGTTGGCTGAGCACATCAAATTCGTGAACCAAGAATGCCTGGAAATGCAACGCCATAGATCACATTATGCTATAATATCATTAAAAACCAGGGAGTAAAAGAAGAAATAAGTACATATAGCTTGTTGCAAGCATAACACATTCTCTGTATATTAAAACATCTGTCGTCTTTTAATTCATATAACAGCTGATACTTTTTTTCAAGTCTTACACCTTTCATTTCCGTAAAACTATATTGGTAGATTGCAGCCTTTTCCTTTTGGTTAAACAAGATACTCATACAATATTCATAAGTTGTCTCAATTTGTATCAATTGATTAAACATTTGAAAACAGAATAACATGAAATATCAATTATACAGACCAGTTGGAGCTGTCATGGCCTAGAAGAATGCTAGCAGATCAATGACAGCACCAACATGACAAGCAAAACGATCCACTCTCGAAAAATAAAATAAAAAAATGCACAGTTAATTACAATTCTCGCCATACTACTTTGGGACGTGGCTACAGCACAAATAAAATATTAGATAAATCAGAAGAAATTTATATTTCTTCAATCTCATTTATTTTTTATTTTCATAATCAAGAGCTTCTAGTTCTGTTTCTCTCTCATGCGCCAGTTTAATCAAATTGCAACTTTTACATTCTCCCGGGAGATAGACCAGGATCAGTAAAAGCTCAACATTATAATCTTTATCTATTTATCTAATATCCTAGAATAGAAGATCTCTGCGTTTTTTCCTGATTATCTGCTTATCCTGGTTTTCAAGTCACAAGAACTCATTCTTAGTGGTTTGCTTATGCTACAAGCACATATATATTTTTCAATTTATAAGTCAATTGATGCTAATTCATGATATGCATCCAAACTCCTATATAAATGTTTGGCACAATTGTTCAGCAATTCAACAAAAATTTCATGAGCCTGACCCCTCTCATGCTGCTTTAAGCAACAGAAGACTAAAGAATGTATCAAACACCAACACAGTCAATATGAAAGTATGGATCAAATTCCAAGACAAAGCAAATATTTAATATAATCAAACTTAAGGTAATTACAGGAATGCACCAAGCAAGAATGGTGCTCAAACAACAGGATAGTGATTACCTTGAAAGATGATGACCAGCAAAAACAGCAGGGTCAGCAGGCATGCAAATATATTACTGGCCCAAGATGATGACTTGTCCTTTCTCATTTTCCTCAACCTTCTTCTTTCCATCCTCTTACGTTTCAGGTTGAGCACATTTAATTCTTTCATCAACTTAATATCGCATGCGTTCAACGAGGGGCCTTTGGGAGGACGTGGAGGCTTACATGGATTTCCATGATTGTGCTTCTTAGGCTTCTCCTCATTATTTACAGAACCCATCTTCTCATCTTCTCTAAACTTCCCCAGCTGCTCCTTGTTCTCAGCTGTAATCTCGTCCGAACTCGTTGTTTTTTCGTACGAACCCAATGAACAATCTCCATCACTCTTGTAACTACATTGTGACTCTGAATTCATAAACCCATTCCTTATCCAGCCCATTACATTTTTTGAGGTTTTACAACTTGGGTTTTGGCTCTTGCTACTATTGTCATCTCCGCTGGTTGTTCCCCCACTCTCCAAGTCGATGTCTAAATCTAAATTATCTCCAGTAGTATGTACATGATCCATGTTTCCAAAAGAAAAGAGAGAGGGAAAAAAAAAAGAAAAAGAAAGAAAGAAAGAAAACTCTATGGAGCTAAACAGGATTCAACAGCTAAAATTGAGGACCAATTTTAGCATGTGCATCTTCTCAGAATTTCAACATGGAATCGTCAATTCAATCTTTGCATTTGAAATCCCGTCTTCACAAATTGCGGACCAAAGAATTGAGGTAATTTGATCAAGCTGCGTACACAGTAAAATTACAAGTTAGGTTCCTTAACAAAAAAGTAAACTCCATAACCCAAATCACAAGAATATGCACGATTTATCATGGAAAAGAAAGGATTTGAGCCAATACGCAGCTTCTAACCATACATTTACAAAAACGAATTTAGAAATCTATCCCAAAATTTTCTAGGTAAAAAATTCGCAGCGCCAAACTAGCATAAGATAAAAGCCAAAAAATTGAACCGAACAAATGAAAACGAGGGCATTTCACAAAATGCACATGGAAAACATCAGAAAAACAAAAACTGAGAATGACAAACTGCGCCTTTGGCTTTCCCAATTCAGAAACGAACCAAATGAAAAAAGGTTGGTGTTATATAATCGGGAAAACATAAATGAGGATGATTCTTAACATACCGTTGAATTATGACCCCGTGGTGCTTGAAGAAACCGATTTAATTTAATTTAATCTCTTGTTTCACAGTTATTCCGGGTTTGATTTGGTGAGAATGGCGTGTTTTACATTTATTGACTGTTGTTTCTTCTATATATAGCGAAAAAAGCCAAAAAGGAAAGGGAGGTGGCTTGTCTGGGGTGAGTTGGGGGTTAGTTGGGATAAGTTTTATGAGGAAATTTCACATTTCTAAGAAAAAAATAATAGAGGCCCTGAATTTGAGTTCAAATGACTTAATGGAGAAAGATGTTGCGGAAAAAAAAAAAGTCCCCAAACTTTGTACGATTCTCCAAACTCAGAAGACCTCATGGACGAGATATATACATAGTTTGGAACAGGAAAAATAGATGTTATCTTCTCGTGAAGAGAGTTTTTGGAAACAACGCGAGCGAGTGGATTGACTAAAGGAGAGTGATCGAAATACAATTTTTTTTTTTTCTTACTAGAGCAAAAACAAGGTTCCGTCGCAATCAAATTCACAAACTTCAAGATGACCAGAGGGACTGGATTACCAAGGCGGATGATATTGTTCGCCATGTGTCAGCTTTCTTCAATAATCTTTTCTCTAACAGCCAATCGACCGATGAACACATCCATACTATGTGTCTGGTGGCTATCTCTGGAAGATGCTCTTATGCTCAATGAGCCTTTCACTGAAAACGATATTCATGACGCTTTGATGAGCATTGGTCCTTATAAAGCTCTGGGAGTTGACGACTTTCACGCGATATTTTATCAGAAATAGTGGGGTCTTGTTAACCAAGATATTATGTCAGTGTGCCTGAACATCCTCAATAACAGCTACTCCCTACAGGGTCTGAAGGATACAGTTATAGTGTTGATTCCAAAGAAGAATAATCATGTTTGAATCACCGACTATCAGCCTATTAGTCGGTTCTCTACATAATAGTCTCAAAAGCAATTGCTTCCGAATGAAATTGGTTTTAGGCCCTCTAATTTCAGCAAACCAAAGCGCTTTTGTCCGGGAAAGGCTCATCACGGATAATGCAATTTTGGCTTTTGAACTTCTTCATTCAATGTCCAAAAAACGTCATAGAAATTCTCGTTGGATGACCATTAAACTTGATATGAGCAAAGCGTATGATCGAGTTAAATGGGATTATGTTGAGACATTGTTGGTTAAAAAGGGATTTGCCCCTTGCTTTCGAATACTCATTCGTAATTGCATCTCTATAGTTCAATTTACTTTCAGTATCAACGGCCAAAATGTGGGGCACGTGCAACCTTCTCTGGGATTGTACCAGGATGTCCTTTTATCTCCACTCCTGTTTATTTTTTCCTTATAATGTGATTAGTTAAAAATTATTATGTGATAATGATTTCATTATCATAATATATGTAAAGAAGTTTTCTATCTACACTTTTTACCTTCCCTAATAAATTTCTATAATTTTTTTTTTTCATTTCAACTCTTCTTTTTTTTTTTTATACTTTTGTCATTTGTTTTGTTGAGTTAATCAATCTGCGTGGTCAAAGATTTCTTTAAAGTTGATATCCTTCCTAATTATTTGTCCTTTTCTATATTAATTCGTATGATATTTTACTCTCTATTGTCTTTTTATGATTTGTTTCCTTTTCTAACATTTGTCCTTTAAAAACACTCCCATAATCCATTTGTCCTTTTCTAATATTTTACTCACACACTCCCATAATCCATTTTTCCTTTAAGAATTCCTCTACCTCAGTATTTTTTATTTGACATGATTAGTTGAAGAGAAACAAAATATATCTTATTATTTTAACTAATTCATAAAAACATATGCATCTACGCTCTCGTCTCTCCCAAAATTTCCAAAATCGGCAAATCCTAGCTCCCGTCAATCTCCACAGCTCTGAGCCTCCTTCTGCTGCCGTCCGGGTCATCGGTGGACGGCTCTTCACTGCTCAACCATGTTCCAATCGAGGGACTCTCTTTCTTCCGTCGATTGCTTAGGGCTTCTGACGGTCTTTACCAGCCTAGTCGCGCAAGTGGTCGGTTCTGGGCTATGTCCGACGGCGTCCCGAAGTAGTTTGGAAGGAGGAGTTCTGAGTCTGGAGATGGTGGTGGCTCTGACGGCCTACGTTTTCTCCGGATTGGGGCAGTTCTTCTTGCCGGGTCCTGAGTCTGTACTCGATCTCTTGCTCCTGTCGGGGTCGGTGTGTGATTTCTGGTCGCCGGCATCTCGGCGTAGCTGGGGAGAGGGGGTCTAGGTGCCGTCTTTAGGGCTGGATGGAGAGCGTCTCGCTTGTATGGGTTTTGTAGGTTCGTTGGGATTTGTAGCTATTTGATCCTCTTCCTTCTTTGCTCTTTGATTCGGAGGCCGAGGGAGGCCAGCCATTCCCGGCTTTGGCTAGTGGTGTTAGCCGACTTCGGGATGGTGTCGGACTGGCTAGTGGTGTTAGCCAATTAGAGGGCGATTGTGGCTTTTTTCAGTCGAAGAGCGGGTCGATTCATTCAGATTGGTTCAAGGTTCAGGTCCTCGTCTTTGCTAGACATTAGGCAGTGGCAGGCGTGGCTCTTGTGCTTCGGTTCTCTCCTTGGAGTTGGCCTATGTCTGCTGGTCAATTTGGATGTGCTGCCGAGGGAGGGCCTCGATTTTTTAGTTTTTGTTAGGCTTTGTTGTGTGTTTTTTTAGTTTGCCTGTTCAGTCTTGTTTTTTGGTTTGGGCCATTGGCCTCTATACTGCCTGAGTAAAGAGTGAGCATTACCCTGTTGGGGTAGTTTTCTCTCATTCTCCTCTTGGGAGCCTTTTGATTTCTGTAGTTTGTTTTTGTTTTAGTGTGTTGCCGAGTAAATCTAGCGTTGCTAGATGGCGATTCTAGGCGGTCATAGGACCTATCCTCTCAGTTTTCTCAGTCGTTGGTTGTATTATTCAGCTCGCGGTTATACCTTGCACATTTGTGTGTCTTATTATAAAACTTTATATCGTTCCGGTTTTAAAAAAAAGAAAACTAATCTATACTTGTAGCAATAAAATCCTATTACTCCTCTAAGTGATAAAATCCATGATTTGTTTCTTTTTTCAATATTTATCCTAACTGGTTGTTCAATTTGATAAGGTATAAAGCAAAATGATTGATATCTTGAGTAACAAATAAGAACATATTTTCCCTCAATTTGTGGCCCACCAAATATATTATTATACCAGATAATGATGTGAATATAGGATTATCATTCTCAAATAATTAACAATGAACAATTCTTAAAATTAATATACTTTAATTAAATATTAACCCATCTCAATCTTTACAAATAATGGGCTAAGCATACAATCAATCCAAAAATTTTAAATTTCCATACATATAAATTTTAAAAATCTAAAAACTATATAAAAGTAAAAGTAAATATCTTTTTATTTAGTTTTTATTCTAAAATTAAAAAATTTCACAAATAGTATCCATTTAAGCTATAACTAAATTATATTTTCTAAACCATCAAAATATAATAAAATCACATATTTTTATTTATTTATGTCATATACTAATTATAAATAAATGAAAAGCCTCATGTATGCTAGTCTAGTGAAAGTATGATGGAAAAATTAAAATTGAAAAATAAAATTGTGCTAATCATACGGAAAATAGTTTTATTAGCTCAAATACCATTGGATACAAGAAAAAAATGTATATATTGTCGACATTCAATCCCAAATCACAATCTTCGAAACTCCTGTGAAGGTTGTGTACTATACTACATAATCAATGAAATAATTACCATTTATACTTTTGCTTGCCATTGAGATATATGCCATCGCTTTTTGCTTCCCAATAGCATTTTCTATTGGGACACTTATCGCGATTCGAATTATTCTTAAAGACATCGAAAGCAAGATCTTTGCCGTTCCACCAGAGATGGCAAAAGAAGAGGGTCGTCTCAAAGGCACAGAATTTAAAGTGAAAATTCTGTCCATTAGTAAGAGTGTGATAGCCGAGTTCATTGTCTCCAGAGGCACAATGCAATCTCAACGGTGGAGAATTTTGAGGAAGAGAATCAGCAACCGTAACTGTAATTGGCTTATCAAAGAAACACGCTCGAGCTCCAACACATGAAAGTAGGTATAAGAGTAGGAAGTTCTTGCTCAAAATGTAATTCATTTTTATTTTCTTATTTTTGTGTTTTTATATTTTTTGTATGACAATCAATTTGATATATAATAGGGTGTCTGCCCAATTTTTCCATTTCTTTCCCGAATCAAGATGACATTAAATAATTTATTACAAAAATATGATTTCAAATCATGGTAGGTTCAAGCAATTCGATTTGTATTATTGAGAATTTAAAGAATTTATTACAAAAAATATGATTTCAAAATCATGGTAGGTTCAAGCAATTTGATTTGTATTATTGAGATTATTCAAATCCATACAATACCAAAAAAAAACTATATATATATCT